GCATTGAAGTTATATCTGCTGAAATTCTTCCACTTCTCCAAGTCATAAGCAATATAATGCTTGCAACAGGCAGAGAGCATAAGTCCATCATCATCCCCGTGGTCATCTTCTCTCATCACCCTTGTTTCTCAAACCCATGTCTAAGTTGACTACTACTTCTCACGGACTCACCCTGAAAACCCCGCACAAACTCAATAGCATAAGCTGAAGCAACCATGGGATCCTCCCCGGGAGTCTCCTGGCCCCGTCCCCACCTGGGCTCCCTTAAAATGTTAATATTGGGCGCCCAAAATGTCAACACAGCTTGCCCAACATTGTACATGGCTCTCGCCTCAACTCCTATAGCCGATCCAATCTTGAACCACAGGCTCCTATTGAAAGAAGTGGTAATGACAATAACTTGTGGGAAAATTGTGGCTGCTCCAAGAGTTCCGTTAAAGGAAACCCCAGGGCCGTTCCTGGCAATCCCATGAAGAGACTCCGACCACCATTCATATGCAGGAATCCCAAGTCTTGGGACTCCAGAGGCATTGTTGGAGAGCTGCTGGATCTTCTCCCGAAGAGTAAGGAGGGAAACGAGAGTGAGCTCTGTCACTGATGGGAAGAGAGGTATTGCAAAATGGGTAGGCGCTAAACCGGGGCGGCTTGCACGGGAATTCTGGGTTTTTAGCAGATGATGAAATTGAAGCGGTCAACGTGAGAAGCAGAAGAAGAGAGATCGCCAGGGAGATTCGCCGGCGGAACATGGTCACGTGGGTAGCTGGGAGCCTGGGAGGTTTTTCTTTTTTGACGGTAGGAATTGGTTAGAAAGTGTTAGTGTCTGTTAGTGCTCGGAGAGATTCGAACCTCTGAGGGGGTGCAAGCCACCTGCTGCCCAAAGGCAACGTGGCCACTTGGGCCACATGGGGGTCTGCAGCCTGGGAGGTTTGTTTACCTTGTAGTTATTCAATTGGATAGATAAACTAGATTAGTTGTCAGGTGAATTATCCGAAAGGTTGCGTGTCTGGTAAAGGGAGGTGAGATATTCATTCAAGATCGAATTTTTACAGTTATTAATAATTAATAAAATTTACTTATTAATTATTATTTTTATAAAAAAAAGTTAATTTTCAGGTGTAATTATTATCGTAATTAATTATCAAAAGATTATTTTATAATGCCAACCAGGTAAGTCAGGGCAATCAACATCAAATATATATATATAATTTAATATAATTTTTTTTAAATAAATTATAATTATTTAAATATATTAATTAAAGATAAAAAAAGGGATTTCGTTAAATTTAAATATATAAATCAAAATATATATAATTCTAATCAAAATTTCATATCATTGAAACAGTTTATATAATTTAACATAATCTAAATTATTAGATAACATAATTTGACATATTTTATACCTGGAGATACCATCGATTGCAAGAACGAACTTCTTGAAAGGATTAATAAACAGCAACAGGAAGCGTCCAAACGTGGTTCATATCAAATGAACTTAGTTGGTATCTTAAGGAAGGAGCTAAAGCGGGATTAAGTGATGGTCAGAAACCCCGCCAGGATGAGGTTCTCTCTACATTAACCACTAAACTGGTAAAATTCACGTTTCTCTCTGCTCAACATTCATTCCCAATAATAGAAAAACAGTTTGATGTTGGAAAGAAAAGAGAAGGACACCACGGTTGATATATGCTGTGCAACCAAACCAGGATTGTTACCATCAAGGTTAAATGCTAAATTTGGTCTCTTAACTTTAAGAAATGAACATTTTTGATCCCTCAATAATTTTTTGCACTTTTTTGATCCCTCATCTACAAGAAATGCACTCCGTTAGTCATTCTGTTAATTTGAACCGTTAACTCCGCTTATGTGGCCTTTTTTATATTTTTTTTATGATGTGGAGAGCAAAGTGATGATATGGACAAACATTTTGATATTTCATATTACTGTGTGCCAAATCATATTATCATGTGTCAAATTCATTTAAATGGGTCCCACCTCACTAATAAAAAAATATATCTTTTGATGACATGATAAATTAAGTGATATTTTTTTATATTTTGTTAATAATATAACAAATTAAATTAAATATTTATCCGAATAA